GATATCATGTACTACACGTACAGACTCCCATTGTGTGCTTTGTACACAGGTGTCAACAATTGTATTGTTAATATCCTAGAAATATAAATATCATCTGTTCTATTAGCTGTGAATGACCGTTAAGTCCTATGTAAGACAACTTGGTCTTCAGTAATATAATCCTAGTGTATTGTAGCATGAAATCACTGCAGTAATATTCATAGTCACAGATAGTGACCGACAAAAACAATTTGACCGGAATTTCTGCTGTTAAAGTGTGTCATGGGAAATGTAATTTGCTTGGTCCGCCTAGTTGTTTACATTTCAACTAAAGGTGTTAATTCTGTAAGCTAACATCTTGCATTACGCTATTATCAAACGGCTTGAACACGGATATGCATACATTTCTTTTCACACACTGTTGTCGTTCACCATCATTTCACTGCAGGGATATATTTCGGGGAACATAAATTTGTTTGTGCTTTCTTTCAATTTATTAGTCCTCGTTCGGACGTAGTCAAAAAACGGGGACTTATGTTTTGCCCTGTGTGCGTCCGTCCGTGCGTGCGTCCGTGATCACCTGTATCTCGAACATGCATGGACCGATTAAGTTCAAACTTCACTCATACATCACACATTATATGGGACATATGCACATGCATTTTTTTCATGATCCGATTATCGATAGCCGAATAGCGGCCATTTTAAGGCTGAAAATGCATTGAAATCGCACATTTTCACCATTCCAGACCCGGATCTCAGTTATGCATGGACGGATTTTGTTCAAATTTGGTACATACATTAAACATAATAGGACCTTGATGCACGTCATTTTTTTTTTTGGATCAAGTTTGAAATAACTGACTGGCGCCCATTTTGTTTTAAAGAATTCAGTTCTGGATCCGTATGTGAGACATGTCTGGATTGATCGAGTTCAAACTTCACACACACAAGGTACATCATGTCACAAATATGTATGTGCATTTGTTTCCTGATCTCATTAACGATAGCCAAATGGCGGCCGTTTTAAGGCCGAAAATGCATTGAAATCGCACATTTTCACCATTCTGGACCCGGATCTCATTTATGCATGGACGGATTTTGTTCAAATTTGGTACATACATTAAACATAATAGGACCTTGATGCACGTCATTTTTTTTTTCGGATCAAGTTTGAAATGACCGACTGGTGGCCATTTTGTTTTAAAGAATCAGTTCTGGATTCATATCTGAGACATGCCTGGATTGATCGAGTTCAAACTTCACACACACAAGGTACATCATGTCATAAATGTGTATGTGCATTTGTTTCATGATCCGCTTAACAATAGCTGAATGATGGCCATTTTTAGGCCAAAAATGCATCAAAATCACGTATTTTCACAATTCCGGAACCGGATCTCAGTCATGCTGGATGGATTTTGTTCAGATTTAGTACAATGTGTTGTACATATGCAGGTGCATTTCGGATCAGACCACTGAAAGTGGTCTGAGATTTCGGTCATGATCTACTTTGAATGTATATGTCACTCAAATATGAATGGAACAATGACGTGTCATTGACAATGACTTGTTTATTTTTGAGAAACATTTGTACTTTTTAAATTGTTGGGAACATCATATATTAAATTTGAGAAGCATACTCAACATATTGTCAGGATGTATTTGTTGACGAGCGCCTTGAACGAACCCCGCTATTATCATGTTATCATGACCAACCGGGCCTGTCACGTCCACCAGTGAAATAATCTAGGCCAGTACCCACAGCTTGGTTCGTCTTTTCATTGACAATGGGGTGAAAACTTTTTTTTTTTTCCTTCTCGTGACTGATCTGGTTCTCCTCTGTTGCTGCTGGAAAAATAAGAATCGAGCAAGTTTACAAGTCCTGTAACCGTGAATGTTTTTCTTTGCACACATACACTAAGGAACTTATTGTGCACAGTCCCTTCCCTCTTGTGCACACCCCATCTTGTGCCACTTGCTCGGGCCAGACCACTTTGTGCAGCACTGACAAAGTGGCTGGACAAACAGCTCACAGCATATCATTTCTTAATACTAGTAGCTCCATGGTATCACTTACATCATCAACTCAGTAATTACATAAACATACCTAGAGATTGAACAAACCACTCAGGATTAACACCTTGCATTTGCATAAACCCATGACTGACAGTCATTTTGAGTAGTCAAAACGACTGTTTGAATCATGCTTTCCTGTCCCTGGCAGCCATCTTTCCTTTTATACACCCGGAGCCACGGTTTAAACAGTTTGTCTTCCATTGTGTAGGTCGATTATATGGGACTTAATAATTTGGTCTCAATCTATTTGTTCAACAACTAAACTCTTCTTTTTTTCTGACATAGCATGATTGTTTTTATAACTAGCGTAACAGATTGCACACTGCTTGACTTTGTAATTCAATCATAGATCTATAATCTTATTCAAAATGTCTGACTGGCAGCAATTTTTGATTACATTATCTCTGGACTGAATACACGCTTTTATGCTCATATCAGCAGACATCCTTGCTTGTACATTCCTGTCAAGGTTTGATACAGAGTATACAGAAATGTGGACCGGAAGGTCATCAAAATTCTACCTTTCCAGGACCAGATATTGATGGATTTTGTTTAAAGTTGGTATACGGTATACATGTAGATGCCACGGCAGATGAAACATTCAATTGAAGATCATATCCTGCATATGTTTCAATGAGCGTAAAAGCATAAACTGGAAAGCAGTAACACTAGATGGTACATTCAAATCTAGAATGTTTTTTTAGTCAAGATGCTGATTACACACACAAAAATGGACACTGTAACATGGTCCTGTAAAAACTCAAACCCAGATGAAATCAAAGGTGGTCATCGAAAAACATCATTCAACTTAAGATATCTCAATCATTCTATTATTGAATGATAGTCAATGAAACATTTAGTAAGCCCTAATTCAGGTAAAATTTTGTCAACCCATTAGAAGAAATTCAATTGCTGATGGTAAGTGTACAATGTGTTGAGGCATAAAATGACAATGAAGTGTGCAATGTGTTGAGGGATACAATGACAATGAAGTGTGCAAGGTGTTGAGGAATACAATGACAATGAAATGTGCAAGGTGTTGAGAAATACAATGACAATGAAGTGTGCAAGGTGTTTTAGGAATACAATGACAATGAAGTGTGCAAGGTGTTTTAGGAATACAATGAAGTGTGCAAGGTGTTGAGGAATACAATGACAATGAAGTGTGCAAGGTGTAGAGAGATACAATGACAATGAGGTGTGCAAGGTGTTGAGGGATACAATGACAATGAAGTGTGCAAGGTGTTGAGGGATACAATGACAATGAAGTGTGCAAGGTGTTGAGGAATACAATGACAATGAAGTGTGCAAGGCTTTGAATGATACAATGGCAATGAAGTGTGCAAGGTGTTGAGAGATACAATGACAATGAAGTGTGCAAGGTGTTGAGGGATACAATGAAGTGTGCAAGGTGTTGAGGGATACAATGACAATGAAGTGTGCAAGGTGTTGAGGGATACAATGACAATGAAGTGTGCAAGGTGTTGAGGGATACAATGATACATGTGCAAGGTGTTGAGGAATACAATGGCAATGAAGTGTGCAAGGTGTTGAGGGATACAATGACAATGAAGTGTGCAAGGTGTTGAGGGATACAATGATACATGTGCAAGGTGTTGAGGGATACAATGACAATGAAGTGTGCAAGGTGTTGAGGGATACAATGACAATGAAGTGTGCAAGGTGTTGAGGGATACAATGATACATGTGCAAGGTGTTGAGGAATACAATGACAATGAATTGTGCAAGGTATTTTAGGAATACAATGAAGTGTGCAAGGTGTTTTGGGAATACAATGGAGTGTGCAAGGTGTTGAGGGATAAAATGACACTGAAGTGTGCAAGGTTTTGGGGAATACAATGACAATGAAGTGTGCAAGGTGTTGAGGGATACAATGACGAGTGTACAAGTTGTTGAGGCATAAAATGACAATGAAGTATGCAAGGTGTTGAGGAATGCAATGAAAATGAAGTGTGCAAGGTGTTGGCATATAAAATGACTGAAATATGCAATGTGTTGAGGGATACAATGACAAGTGTGCTAGGTGTTTAGGGATAGAATGACAAGTGTGCAAGGTGTTGGGGTATAAAATAATGAAATATGCAAGATGTTGAGGGATAAAATGACAATTGTGCAAGGTGTTGATGGTTAACATGACAAGAAAGTGTGCAAGGTGTTTTAGTAATTCAATGAAATGTGCAAGGTGTTTTAGGAATACAATGAAGTGTGCAAAGTGTTTTAGGAATACAATGACAGTAAAGTGTGCAAGGTGTTGAGGCATAAAATGACAATGAAGCGTGCAAGGTGTTGAGGAATACAATGAAAATGAAATGTGCAAGTTGTAGAGGTGTGCAAGATATAGAGGAATGCAATGAAAATGAAATGTGCAAGGTGTTAGGAATACAGTGACAATGAAGTGTGCAAGGTATAGAGGAATAAAATGAAAATGAAATGTGCAAGGTGTTGAAGGATAAAATGACAATGAAGTGTGCAAGGTATAAAGAGATACAATGACAATGAAGTGTAGAGGGATGCAGTGACAATGAAGTGTGCAAGGTGTAGAGGGATGCAGTGACAATGAAGTGTGCAAGGTGTAGAGGGATGCAGTGACAATGAAGTGTGCAGGGTGTAGAGGGATGCAGTGACAATGAAGTGTGCAAGGTGTAGAGGGATGCAGTGACAATGAAGTGTGCAGGGTGTAGAGGGATGCAGTGACAATGAAGTGTGCAGGGTGTAGAGGGATGGAGTGACAATGAAGTGTGCAAGGTGTAGAGGGATGCAGTGACAATGAAGTGTGCAAGGAGTTGACAGTCATGGTTTTTCCATAGAAAGCTGAATTCTGTGTTGGTTCAAAATTGTTGTGCAAGATTCTTGATACAGGTAAATTACATGACATCATTACCACCATTATTTTGTAATTTTAATGTTCTATTTTTTTGCAGATGAAAACTAGAAACTACGAAAGAGTTGAGAAGGTAAGTTCTTGGTAACTGAGCTATGTTGTCCATGTACTATGATTAAAGTACTTTTCTGTTTTAGGTTTACCCATACTCATGTTTATTTTTCGTCTGTTTTTTAGTCCCTGTTCGGACGTAGTCCGAAAACGGGGACTTATGGTTTGCCCTGTGTGCGTCTGTGCGTCCGTGATCACCTGTATCTCGAACATGCATGGACCGATTAAGTTCAAACTTCACTCATACATCACACATTATATGGGACATATGCGCATGCATTTTTGTCATGATCTGATTAACGATAGCCGAATAGCGGCCATTTTAAGGCCGAAAATGCATCAAAATCGCACATTTTCACCATTCCGGACCCGGATCTCAGTTATGCATGGACGGATTTTGTTCAAATTTGGTAAATACATTAAACATAATAGGACCTTGATGCACGTCATTTTTTTTTTTCGGAACAAGTTCGAAATGGCCGACTGGCGGCCATTTTGTTTTAAAGAATTTTGTTCTGGATCCGTATCCGAGACAAGTCTGGATTGATCAAGTTCAAACTACACACACACATGGTGCATCATGTCACAAATAGATATGTGCACTTGTTTCCTGATCCACTTAACAATAGCTGAATGATGGCCATTTTAAGGCCGAAAATGCATCAAAATCACGTATTTTCATAATTCCGGAACCGGATCTCAGTTATGCTGGATGGATTTTGTTCAGATTTAGTGCATATATTAAACATAATATGAGCTTGATGCACACCAGTTTTTCTTCGGATCAAGTTCAAAATGGCCGTCTGGCGGCCATTTTGTTTTAAAGAATTTAGTTTTCGATCCATATCTCGAACATGCCTGGACAGATCAAGACCACACTTCACACACATCATACAATGTGTTGTACATATGCAGGTGCATTTCAGATCAGACCACTGAAAGTGGTCTGAGATTTCGGTCATGATCTGCTTTGAATGTACATGTCACTCAAATATGAACGAAACGGGGACGTGTCATTGACAATGACTTGTTGTACATGGGTTTTGTTAAAGAAATAGAAGAGTAGAAGGGACTTTAATATCCTCTTTACTGCTGCAAAACAGATTGTTGGAACAATTAAAAACTTAGTATCTTATTTTTAAATTGTAATGAGTGTGATTATAATTTGATGTTGATGGACATTGTGAGGAAAAGAGATGTGTACAATGCAGTTTTGGCATAATTGTAATGAAGGATTTTTTTTTTAAATTTACATTAAGGGGAAATGGAACAAGTCAAAAGTGGAGTATATTCATACTTTTTTTTTGTTATCTTCAGTTATTTCAGCGTTGCCTGATGAAAGTATTGAATATAGACCTGTGGAAATGCTATCTTTCATATGTAAAAGAGACGAAGGGTAGTTTACCATCATATCGTGAAAAGATGGCCCAGGCGTATGACTTTGCATTAGATAAGATGGGTATGGATATCATGTCATATCAAATATGGGCAGATTATGTACAGTTTCTTAAAGGAGTGTAAGTATACCATTCAATGTGTAAGATTGTATATTCGTGTAAAATTCTGCCGTAAAGGAAAACTGTCTTGCGCTCATTGTGCTAGTTGGTGTTTACATGTACTATAAGGTCAAAGTTTGCGAAAGGCAGTATTGCAATCGTAGCAAGGTTGACTTGGCAGTATTTTTATGATAACCATATCTTCTTTCTGTTTGTAGTAATAACTCAATGATAAACAACCTCCAAAAATGCAAACAAATTTTTTTTACTCTGCATGAACATTTGGTTTGGTGAACATTCACTGTCAGGTACCACCACACAATATTGCACTTTTGTGTTCAGTGTAAGCAAAGTGTTTGAATGTGACGTCAATAACCTGTAACACGTCAACACTGGCGATGCATTTTAGCCCAAATAAGGAATATTGGAACAAGTGCATATACTTTTCGGGACAAACAGAACTTTTTACATAAATTTAAATGGCAATAGCGAGATATATGGGTCTCATATAAACAAAAATGGTGACTTTGACTGTTTGCAGATCAACAAGAACAAACTGAGACATTACAAAGCTTTAATTAGATTTTTTTTTTAGGTGATTGGAAGATATTGAAGGAATCACCGACGGTAATTGGTGAAAGTCATGCCCAGGTCAAACCTCATACTTGTGATTCCGATTCAGAGCACATTAGATTGTGGGAAAATCAATGTTTATCAACACAACTATCGCACATGCACAGCATGATGACCATCACCCTTTAAGTGCCGGATGTATATGAATGGTATTTATTTATTTTCTCTTGGCAGTGAAGCGGTTGGTTCTTACGCTGAAAATCAAAGAATCACTGCAGTTAGACGGGTATACCAAAGAGGGTGTATTAATCCTATGATCAATATTGAGCAGCTATGGAGAGAATACAATACATATGAAACGGTAAGTCAGTGTTTTTATTTTAATTACTATTCTTTGATATTCATGTTAATTCATAGCATGAGTTTTGTAACGATAGCTTGTCAAAACAAGGTTTGAATTCGCATTCAGATTATGTAGTTTATGCAAAACACTGATTTTTGTGATCTGCAGATATTGGAACCCTAACCCTAACCTGCTTTGAAGGCTATCGTGTCTAATCATCAACTCAGCATACTTTTCATGTTGTATTCACTCAAGTCCACTTTACTTTATTTTGGGAGATTCTTTTTAAATCAATTTTGGGATTATGTTGAGTTAAATTTTCATGAACTGTACAAACTTTGGAAATACATATCATGGGACATGTACATGCACATGTATTTCTGCACACTTTTATATATACTTATGATGAAAATGAAAAGATACTATTTCATGAAATATAGAAATTTATTATGCTGCTTTATCATGTAACTATCATGATGATATATGTATGAGTTAATATATCATAGTACATATACATGTATGTGAAAGATGATAAATTACAAATACCAGTCGTACATGTAGATGAACAAAGATGGCGATTTTGACTGTTGTGCGAACCAACAAGTACAAACCGAGACGTCACCTGGCTTTAATTAGGTAATTTCTTTGGTGATTGGAAGGTATTAAAGAGTCATCAGTGGTAATTAGTTCATGCAGCAGACAGGTCAAAACTTTGTGGGAAAATTAATGTTTATCAACACAAATGCCACATATGCTTAGCACAATGACTACTGTCCTTTAACATAGATTCAACTGACATGACAAAATGCCTCAAACTATAGTATTTGCTCTACTAGTAGCACACTTACGTAAATTACAGAGGTGTTTCTATGTTAAAAATATCTAATATTTTGGGTTTATATGCCATTCTATTGGAGGTAAACTTCCAATTACTGTATACATGCTCTATTAATATCTTTTGCAAATATACATTTATTTATTTATTTTTCAGGGCATTAATCCAATTATTGCAAAGAAAATGATAGATGACCGAAGTCGAGATTACATGAATGCGAGAAGAGTTGCTAAGGTATACTCAATATACACTTCATATACATGTATAACGGTTCATTTGCATGAAATCAATATTCACCTGTAGGCATTCATCAAGAATTGTTCATATCATTCTGGTCAAATTAACATTTGCATCTCTAGCAGTTCAACAAAATATCTCACATGACATTTTTTCTGTGTAGCCTATTAGCTACATTCAAAGTATTCAGAACTATACCCTGCAGGCATCCAATCTTCAACACTTGGAACAACAAACTTAACTTTGTTACTTTTCCCAAAATAGACCTGCTGTCTAAATGTGTGAACAAAACCAGTGAGGATTTATGTCCATTTGATTCAAAATTCAAATATTTCACCAAAATGTTGAGAGGCACCTCTAATAGAGTTTTATCTCCCAGTAAACATATTAACACTGGTAACCCATGATTCTCTGATGCAATCCCTGAGATTGACACCTTCCCCTTTAACATGAAAAATTGTGTCATTCAAAATGTGAAAAAATATCTATAAATATAATATCTATATCTATGAAATTATGTTTGAATATTGAACATGCTAAACATAAAATGTACCTAAGAATTTATGCAACAAACTGACAATGGAAGACTAGGATCATTTCCTCATTGCATAATTCATAATTACCATTTCCCATCTTACTGCAACCCACCAACCTAAAAAAAGACACTTCCAGTCAACTACTGTGACAATAGATGAAGTTTTGAGATCTGCCATTACCTTAGAAACTTGTGCCTCTGATTTTAATTTTCTTTGTGTGGGGGAGTTTATTCCACCACATAAACATTGGATTGCTCTTCAAAACACCAGGAACCAGGGAAACCAGTGAAAAAATTGTGCAAGCCAGAAACCCCCCTCCCCCCCATTGTAGCACGGAAACTGACTGATTGCGCTATAACTCAAAACACGTTCGTTTTATTTGCATGCTGTCTGCAATCATAGAGATTTATTTGCATACAATTAAAATATAAATTTTATTTCAAAATACAGGAATATGAAGTAGTTACAAAAGGATTGAATCGTAATATGCCATCAGTGCCCCCAACTGGTACTCCAGATGAAGTAAAACAAGTCGAATTATGGAAAAAATATATCGCATGGGAAAAAGCAAATCCACTAAGAACAGAAGATCAAACTTTGATTACAAAAAGAGGTACAGTTATTTAACTATATTGTTGAAAGTATTAACAATTATATATATTTTCACACCCCTATGAATTCCTGTATATTTGCTTTTCATATCATCTGTGGTGAGAGTGACTATAAAAATTGATATGATATCATGTACCGGGTGTATGTAATAAAACGTCTCTTTGGTTCTCCCAAACTATATTTTCAATGGTGACACTGTGCTCTTCAAAAATGCACAATTCTGATGCAATGACAACCAAGCATGTATCAAACTGTGAGATGAATTCATATGTATGTGTATTTGTGATAAATAGAGTATTTCCACCACAAGATCACAAGTTGTGTGTGAAATTGATTGTAAAAACAGGACAAATAAAGGTCATAGGAACATTGGGGTATTTGGGGGGTATTTTCAAGTTTAATAATGTGCTATACATATTCAATTTTGCTGAAGTAAGGGTTTCTCCATGCCATACTTCCATCTGAAAAATTTGCATTTTGACATTCAACTATAAAAAAAGAAATTCAAATCAAATCCTTTGTGGTAGATGTTTGTTTCACACATTTCTCACAATACACAAGATTTCGCAGTGAACGTAAAATAACTTGTTGAAAATACTTCCTGGGAATGAATTGAAACTTTGTTTATGATTAAATTCACATATTGTTTATACATCATACATTGTATGTTCATGTGCACATACATTTTTATCACCGTTTGATTCTAGATGGCCGACTGGTGGCCATACTTGGTAAAACACTGTTCATTCACACTTTGTACACAGTTAAACTTTAAAAAGGTAACCTTTTTTGTTTATTTCTAGTAATGTTTGCATTTGAGCAGTGTTTATTGTGTCTTGGACATCATCCTGATGTCTGGTATGAAGGTGCTCAGTATCTGGAACAAGCAAGTAAACTCATGTCAGAAAAAGGGGTAAGTTTCCTACCTCAACTGTAAAAAGTCAGCATACATGAAATCACTATATGCATGACCGCTACAGGTCACACATCTTGGTACTTTCAAAAAGGTATTGTAACTTAATACCTGCCACAATTGCTGTTTTTTGGCAATTGTGACAACATGTATTTGTATTCGAGGTTTGACTGATTTGATATTTGAATTTGGTTTGTTGGTGATGTTTTCACTAAATCAGCAAAGTACTTGCTAATTTTGTAGCAGGGAAAATTCTTCTGGCATTCTATGACACAGAGTGGCTTTTGTGAAATATTGTCTACTCAAATGTCGTAAAATCTTGAAATATCCTAGTAGTGAAAATTATATGGTTTTATACAATATTTCAAGAACAGGAAACTGTTATTCTCCCACTCAGTCTGCATTTGACACACATCAAATCAGAGAATGCATACTACAAACATGTTACAAAAATTTGTAACATATTATCAGATATCATAGCATATCAATCATACAAGATTTAACCTTTTCACCACCGTATTTTCTGCACTTTTTTTCTTCTTTTCTTCTTTTCTTCAATATTTCTGGAAGTGAACCCTAATTTTGGAGCCAACAGACAAAATTTGAGTCAACTTTCAGTTTTTACTCAAAACATTTGGCTATTTTTGTCCTAATTTTTTTAAGGAAAGTGCAGACTTTAACGGAGTACTACATTTAACGGAGTACTGTATTTTGGGAATTGTTCATGAAAAGAGGGAATTGGAGCTGAAAAGGTTAAACATGATCTACATATTTATTCAGTCATGTGACCAAGTTGCTAACATATATACTCAGTATAGAAAGTTCAGAGCTATGAGACTCCACTTTGATTGCATGATTAAGTTATCAGATATATATTTACCTCTGGTTTTGTTATGTAATCATGTCATGTCTCTTATTATCACCATTCAGGATGTAAATAATTCAAAGATATTTAGTGATGAAGCCGCTACTATTTATGAAAGAGCAATTACGACATTAATGAAGAAAAATATGTTACTCTATTTTGCTTATGCAGATTATGAAGAGGTTAGTTTTCAATTTGTATTTTTTTTATATATATACCTGTATATGTGCCAGACTGCAAGAGATCTCTGCATGACAGTATAAGTTCTCATATTCAGCCTGTTATATGGTATTATTATTCATCTGTCACCGTAACACCATAAGTTACAGCGTGCCATAATTTTGAGGTGTTTTATGAGGTATTTGCATCCTACCATATTAGGAAATGTGAATTCCAAATATGGAATGATTACCCAGGTATGTTTGTAAGCATCCTCTAATAATAGAAACAAACATGGCTGCCACCAGAGTTTGACCGGACTCCACACAAAAAAAGTTCGCTGATTCTGTTCTAAACATTTTGGATTTCACCATTCCCATGGTGTATCCTTGGAAGGAAAAGATGTATAATAATAAGGTTATTACAAGTATACCTCAAAGTATGTACTCAGAGAGTATGGCGTGCATTCTCCAGCTGTACTGTCTTCGTGCATACTTTGAGGTATCCTCGTATTAACCTCATATTATTACATGGCTCTATACTGTAAAATACTGTATTTTCGCTGATGGAATGATTCAGTGAAAATAAAATCCAGCGAATATACCTTTTTTCCTATATTTTACATTCAACTTATCAGCGAAAATTAATTCCAGTAAAATAACTTTTTTTACAGTATGTGAAATTTACTCCCTAAAAAAAGCACATATATCACCAGGTAACAAAATTCAGCTGAACTTTGGTGATAGCTGCAGTTGTTCTCTGCATTGCAATAATCCATAGCAATGATCAATACAGTATTAACTTGAATACATACACAAGATGATATCCATGCATGATATCTTACAATACTCATATGAAAACCAAAATGTCATAAATTGATCCTGCTTTATGTGCGTATCATATTTTTCAAAAAAATTCAAAGACAATTTGTTTGGATGTACAAAATCAACATAAACTGAAGCAAACTGTTTTGTGTTAAAGAATTGTGCACCTCTATTGTGGCACAAATACATTAGACCAAATAATAAGATCTCATATACAGTATTTATATAGTGCTACACATTACTACCCTGGTTAGTTGGCCTGTCAAACTTATTTTCAATCTCTGAGCTGTGATTGTATGCTCTCCAGGTGTACATGGGTTAGGTGCCAACATTCCATACCAGGTTTCCATTTACGTCTGGGTAAAAAGAAACCGTAGGTGTAAAGTACATGTACCTTGCCCAATGATACAGTTTTGGTTGAGTCAGGTTTTTCCAAGGTGATGAAGTTAAATATTAGTTGTGTTCTGCTCACAGTTCCTTTACATGCTATGTCAGACTGTTTTTGTTTGATGTAAATATATTCTGTGTTGAAATTTGTTCGTGATACAATGCACAACACCGAGATGGGAAACATTCAAATGTCGCATGTGTGCATACTTGTGATTCTGAGAATTTAGTCACATTTATTTTTGTATTTTTTTTTCTTTCAGAGTCGAATGAAATTTCAGAAATCTCACAGTATTTACCAAAAGCTGTTAGCAATAGAAGATATTGACCCAACACTTGTAAGTAATGCTATATTAGCTAATTAGATCTTAAGACTGTGTAATAGATATGATATTTAAAGTATTATTGTAATTCTTGGTAAATTTTCCAGAATATCAAATTCCATGCAATGACAAATTGATGATTACTAGAGTCCTGAGTCTCTTTAACCACATTTCTCATTCTGATCACTGGAGGATGTTTTGGACATAAGAGCATTCTCTAAAATTGTCTACATAAGCTCAGTTTCTTGTTCAAGAGGTTCAGTTGTCATTATTTTACATACAATTATGAAAGTTTTCCAGAACTTATGAATTGGCGTTATTGTTTTGAGTGTCTATCATAAATTCAATGTCTACTTTTATCTGGTTCATTATGGCTGCATTGGGTATAAGAGAGACGGGAGAGTTGGATAGTCAAGTCTGAAACAGATTCAACATACTCAAGACAAAGCCTCATTTTTAGATCATTTAATATTGACATGATTTATTCCATTGTCAGGTACATATTCAATATATGAATTTTGCGCGGCGTGCTGAAGGGATCAAATCAGCTAGGATATCATTTAAGAAAGCAAGAGAAGATGCCAGGACTCGATATCATGTCTTCATTGCCGCAGCTCTTATGGAGTATTACTGTAGTAAAGTAAGTTGATAAACCTACCACTAGAGGGCTTGTACATACCACTAGAGGGCGTCATTTTGATCATAAAAAATGTAACACATTAATAATAAAATAAAATAATAAATAACACAAAATTAACTTTTTATTGGTCATCAAAATGGTGAATCCAAATAATATTTTGTTTGTAAAATCCAAAACTGAAATTGAGGACAGTTACAGGAAATTTAAAAGCTCATGTTGGTAAATCTGCAGTGAAAGAATCGTATAACAAAACATTGATGCCGCTCAGTTTCCTTTCAAGTCTAGCTGTTCGAAACAACTCCTATCAGGTTTCAAACAAGTAATTTTTCGTCGACATTCATGACCCTAAATTGGATATAATTGAATATATGTGACTATGAATATTACAGCATTGATTTCAGCCCACAATTATGACAATTTAAATTGCATATGTGTTTGATGATTTCATACACGAAAGGCACCACCAATAATCAAGGTAAATCTTGTGGCTGGGTCACCTGACATGGAACTTTAAACATATTTGATACAGATTTGATACTGTAACAGTTTACTGCAAAACTGAAAATATATTTGCACACAATTACTGGTAAAAACAAAAATCTAGATGCGAAAGAGTTACAATTAATATCTGACTATGTATTTGTTTTTTTCTGAAATATTATTTTCTTTTTATTTCCCAGGACAAACAAGTTGCATTCAAGATATTTGAACTTGGCCTCAAGAAATATGGTGATATTCCAGAGTACATTTTGGCCTATATCGATTATTTATCACATCTCAATGGTAAGTGTACTTCCTTAATTCTTTGGCTTTTGTCATCATTCACAAAGTCAACTTTGCTGTTATTTCCTTGGTTATTGTAAATCTCAAGGAAAATATTGCATGAACATAGCCCTTGAGAAATTATCTCAACACCACAAGATATAAATATGACTGTTTCTATTTTTGTTTACCCATTTAATTTGTTCAAAAATCAAGATGTTTATGAATAATGTGATTACATGACATAATGCTTAGAAATGTCATTTGAAATGAGTGCTATAGAGAATTATAGCCATTTGGGCTGATATCAACAAAGAAATTATAAAAAAGTACCAAATATTGTTTCAAAATTATTTTGAAAAAAAATTAAGAAGCTTCTGGCTGAAATTGAATGTTATGACAGAACGCCATGATGTATATGGAAGTTCATTTTACGTGTGATGTAGTGTATCCTGAT